GGAGAACGAGGAGGGGAGGACGACGAGGAGGAGGAGGGGGAGGATGAAGAGAGGAGGAGGAGGAGGAGGAGGAGGAGGAGGAGGAGGAGGAGGAGGAGGAGGAGGAGGAGGGAGGAGGAGGAGGGAGGAGGAGGAGGAGGGAGGAGGAGGAGGAGGAGGAGGAGGAGGAGGTAGGAGGAGGAGGAGGAGGAGGAGGAGGAGGAGGAGGAGGGGGAGGGGGCAAGTTAGGTGCGCTCGCGTCAACATCTGACATCCTACCCCTCCCTCCCATCCCTTACCATGGCGCTGATTTTCTCTATCCGCGGACGCGTGTCGTAGCGGACCTGGCTCCGCGCGTGTGTGCGTAGTGGGTGGTGGTGCGCGTGCGTGCGTGCGTGTGTCCCTGGTTGTGGTTGTTGTGGTGGTGGTGTGTATGTATGTATGTATGTATGTATGCATGCATGCATGTATGTATGTATGTATGTATGTATGTATGTATGTACGTATGTATGTATGTGTGTATGTGTATGTTTGGGGCTTCCTCTTTTTGGGCGTCCCGCCGCCACAGGTTCAAAGTGCACGAGGCTCAAACACACTCGAGGAGAAACGGCTACCGGGACCTGGCAGGGGCCCATACACGGCGAGCACCAGCACCCTCCAGCAGGTCAGCGAGCTAGCCAGCGAGCTTGGCTCGCCGGCCGCACTGACCCCTAGAGGGTAAGGCAACCCGCCGAGTACAATTGGCCCCGCAAACACCAGGAAACACAGTTTAACGTGTTAAACCCCCGGGGCCACCCCTCGAGAGCCTGACCTAAAAGGTGGCAAAATTGGGGATGGACGGAGGGCCGCTTGAGCCGTACACCTACGGAACGATCGAGCGAAGGAGTGTTCACCCTGAGCTCTCCCGAGGCCCGTCGGGCGAACACTATATCACCTGCTCGCTCGACGGCGGCGCTTTGCCTAAGAGGTCCAAACATACGCCCAACCCCGAGGGTGTTATGTTACATGTCTGGGGCTTCCTCTTTTTGGGCGTCGCGCCGCCACAGGTTCAAAGTGCACGAAGCTCAAGCACACTCGAGGAGAAACGGCCACCGGGACCTGGCAGGGGCCCATACACGGCGAGCACCAGCACCCTCCAGCAGGTCAGCGAGCTAGCCAGCGAGCTTGGCTCGCCGGCCGCACTGACCCCTAGAGGGTAAGGCAGCCCGCCGAATACAATTGGCCCCGCAAACACCAGGAACACACAGTTTAACGTGTTAAACCCCCGGGGCCACCCCTCGAGAGCCTTCCACGTCCCCCTATTGTGGCTCTGCCGACCTATTTTAAACTGATGCCATCGGGTAAGGTACCACTGGATCGAATTTACAATTCAAGTCTTACAACCTCAGCTGTCTTAAAATATCTTTCCAGCGGAGAGCGGCAGCTCGAATTCTATCCTTGGTGCTAGGCAGAAGGGTGAGAGCGACAGTATCAGCAACTGCCTGAGACAAGTACATTCTGGCTACTTTCGCGCCGCCCCACCGGCCCTGTTGAAGAGTATACTCCATATTTCTATGGCGGGTGAAGTGGGCGGTCGCACCTCCTCTGCGGAGGCTGTACATTGTGAGCCCTCGGCCCTGAAGGTCGAACATCTGAAACAACCAGGACAACTGCTTACGAACTTCAGGCGCCGTCGCTCCACACAGCTGATCTTCCGACCCCAGCTGCATGCATCTGCATTTTAGGATCTTTCGAGACACTCCGTCTTTGAGAGAAACCACTTCTGAAAAGCCAGTTCGCAGTCCCATCTTTAAGGCCTCGATGTGAATAACTGCCCGCTCACCTTTGACAAGGATGTGCCGCCGTCTGAGAGCCAGCAGCTCGCCTGTGCGCATGAAAGTGTCGAAACCGACGAGCATCACGGTCGCCGGACCTCCCCAGCCGAGGTCCCACGCTGCAGCTGCCAAGGCTAGGACCATGTCGGCCGTGAACGGTGTCGCCCGACAAGGCGTGCACTGCCTCTCCCACGCTCGCACCAGGCTCCAACTCTGCTGCAGGTTGCCCTTCAAGGAGGGCATCACCCACTGCAAAGCCGCTGTCGCATTGACCACCAGGTAAAGCGGCCCCAGCTCTGCCCAACACGCTTCTATGTACAAGCTGAGGTTTTTGTCCACGTCGTTGAGCGAGGACAGCTTCATACTGTGCGCCTTCCACCACACAAAAAGGCGACCGGCACGTCGAACATACCGATCACGCGTGGCTCTAGTGACCTGTAGGTCGCGCAACCGCGCGCCTCGCTTACTGAATTGAGAACGCACATGCAACCAGCTGCGACGCCTGCCGCCGCGAGCTGTCCCTTGGACCCTTTTCGGCGCCATTTCTTAATCAAGAACTCTCTGGACGGCCGATCACTTGGGTTGAGCTTGGTATTGATATACCCAACGCCCACGTACAAGTCTGAGCTGACGAGTATAGCAGCGCACTGTCGAGCGAGTCCTCGAAGCTTCCCCGATGACGTGCGGCCGCGGGTCAGCATCGAGGCCACAACTTGGGAATCGACAAGGTGCAGAACCTTCACGCTCCTGAACGAGGTAGTGCGAGTCCTCTGCCGCAAGGAAGCGTTCACCGCCTTCAACTCGAGCGCGTTGATATGCAGCTCCCTCGACGACTTCGGCCACGGGAAGGACAGCGTCGGCCGCCAGCGCCACAGCGCCGGGTCATTCGAGGATCGCGGCCACGCCGTGGGGCGGAAAGGCACGCCGAGGTCGGGCGGATGTCACTCCCCGACTTCTCGGCCATCGTCCAGAAAATCTCGACCAGCTTGCGGCCGATGGAGGTTTCCTTGATGGGGTCCTTCGAGAACTCCACCGACTCGTCGAGTAAGTCCTTTACCTCCAACTCGCTCGTGACCCCCTCGAGGTCGGTCGCCCTGACGGGCCAGCCCAACTGGCACTTCAGACCGAGGAACAGCCAGCTAACGACGCAGCAGGCGAACGCGTTCCCCAAGAGGCTGCAGCGATCGTTCTCAACGCTGCCACGGCTGGAGCCCGAGCTGGCGACGGACGACGAGTAGTGGCGAGGGAATCCCATGAGCACCTCCTTCTCCGTGGCACACAAAGGCCTCAAGTCCCCCTTGGAGTCCCGAATCATGTGAACTAGCTCGTACTGGTACGGAGGGTACGCGTGCAGGTCCTGGGTCCACCTCTGGATGGCCTCTGGGCTTGCTGTCGATAAACCTGCAGGCTTGTACGGGACAGTCTTCTCCCGCCGCTGGAGAAACGTGCAGACTGGGCCCTTGTCCGAGGCCCTGGAGCACCCTGAGGCAACCCAAGAGCTTGCAGGAGCCTTCGGGACCTGGAGCGCCCTGATGAGGTCGTAGTTGGCCTTGGGCTCCACGTGCACCCCGGGGAGCTTGAGGACCGCCTCTCTCCAAGACAACCAGTACAATCGTGGCCTTTTATTCTCGGTAAAGAGGGAGTTGCACACGCTGATGGGCCTAGTCTGGAGGATGCGGGAGAACTCATGGAGGGATTCTGCGCTCATTGAGAATACATTTTCCACAAGCCAATGGACAGGCACCTTCATGACGAGAGCAAGTGCGCTCACCACCTTGGGTATGCGCTTGAACAGGCCGCTCCGAGCGCCATGTGCGCCCTGCCGGTCGGCGTTCACACCGCTCGTGTCCTGGCAAGGGCTGCCTCCCGCAACGACCGCGGCGACAATCCGATCCTGGAACATGGCCAGAGCCTCAAGCTGTCGGTCGTGAATTTCCTCGACTGGGCCCAGCTCGATCAGGCCAGGCCAGCGCGATCTCAGCACCCAGCGAGCCCCTTTATCGACCTCGCTGCTCATGTAGCCCACGATGTCGAAACCAGCGCGCACCAGCGACACAGCAGCACCGCCGATGCCGTCAAACAAGCTCACCAACAGGACGCGCGGCGGAGCCCCTGGGGCGATCCTGGTCGGCTCGATCGTGCACGAGCCTGTGCAGCTGGCAATGCGATGGCCCCAGGTCTCAGGGCTCCCGAGAGATGCCAGGAACTTCGCGGCCCCCTCTGCGAGCCCCACGGCCGTGCACATACCTGCACCGTCTTCGCTGGCGTCAGAGCACGAGACGATGCCCGCGGTAGCGGCCCTGAGGTTGGTGGAGGCGAGGGGCATCAGCAGGCAGCTGTGCATCAGCTCGTCCAGGCTGGCTCTGGTCAACACAGTACGGCCCGAGCCAATCTGCTCCCGCACCGAGCTGAACACCCCGAAGAGAAGACGTCGAAACTCTAGCACCCTCACCCAGCGTCCCATGAGAATCAGGAGCTGGTTCCCGAGGGGGTTCTCTCTCGTCAGGAGCCACATGGTAAGGCTGTACAGCTGCACGTTCTTTATCCGATTGTTGGCGGCCCTGCCTGAGATCCCGTCCACCTCTACACCCATCCGCGTGACCAAGAGCTGCCTCTGGTTGGTTTTGTCCACGCTGATGGGGATTGCATTCCGCTGGTAGCTCTCCCTCATCTGGGCCTGCAGGCGGCCAGGAGTGCCCACCTTCGCGAGCGCCTCCTTGCATCCAGCCGTCTCGCAGTTATCGAAGTCGTCGATGTACACACTCCACCACTCGCGAGGGCCCCCATGAGACAGGGGAGCAGCTGCAGCGGCGGGGATAGGACGGTCGCGCCGCCACTCCAGGTCAGCTGGGAGGGCGGCGCCAGCAGGGCGACCCAGAAGCGCAACCCGCCGGTGGACGCTCTGGAAAATGGGGACGCTGTACACCCAGCCCATGGGCAGCACCGTCATGGCCAGCCACACCTCCTTGGCCTTCACGCCAAGAACATGGCCGGGGATCGGGGTGCAAATCGCCATGTAGCCCAGCCACGGCGCAGGGATGCGGCACGTGAAGAAAGCTCCCTTCTGGTCGTCCCCACTCCAGAGCAGCACCTCCTCGGGGCCAAGGGAGATGCTTACCCACGCCAGCGAGGGCACCAGAGTCACTGAGTCCCCCGCCAACGGTCGAAGGTACGTATTCGTCGGGACCATGTTGAAAATCAATCGTGTCACTCTGGCCTCTCCCTCAGCTGGGGCCCCGACTTCGTCGCAGCAAACAAACCGTTCGTGACGCGACGGCCGCGGGCCACAAAGATGCGCTCAGCTGGTATAGGGGCCAGCAATCCACGCTCCACCAGCTTGGCAGCGATGGCCCACCAGTCCTCCAGCTTCTCGACGTTGACCTTTGCCTTCGGGGGCGACTCGGGCCACTCGGCCTCCGGCAAGAGCGACATCTCGGGTTTGGTGAGCACCTCCTTGAGCTCTGGCCCCACATAGTCCAGCACGTCCAAGCGGCCGATATCTTCGGCTTTGGGAAGGCCAGGCTCAAGCTCGCCGAACTTCAGAGGGAGCGCCCGACAGTCCTCCTCCAGGTCGTAGCTCGATTTCGTCTTCTTCATTTCCTGAGGCCAGAACGGGATGTCCACCGCCGCCAACGCGTCGCCCACGCGCCACTCGACCGTCTCACCGATCACACGTAGGCTGGCGGCCTGCACCTCAGAAAGGCGCCCGGCTGCTTCCCAGCGGTCCTTGCTCAGGTGGCCAAGGTAAAGGTAGTTCAGGCCCAGCACGCTCAGGAAGGTCCACACCTCGACCGCCATGGCTTGGGCCTCCTTCTTTAGAGCAGCTGGCCACTTCGTAACATCCACGGGGGGTCCCTCACCGTCCAACATTCCTCTTCTCTTCAGATCACGTTCCCAGGCGATAAAGGTTGCCGGCTCCCTCACTGGCAGGGGCAGCACATCGCGCCGGACACCAGCCTCCGGCGATTGTGGCGCGACGCCCACAGGGAACCTTCTAGCGAAATCTCCAATGCAACTTGGCATTCTCCTAACACTGGCGAGGATCCCGAAGCCGATCTCCGGCATTGTCATTCGGCTCGGGCCGCTGCGGCACATGCGCGAGGCGATGTCCGCCTTCCACTGGCCCAGCGTCAGCGCGGCCACCTCGCCGCCGATAGCCGCGCCGCTCATCACGTTCAATACTCCAGCGCGGCCCGCCTCTGCGGCTCGCTCGGCTTCGCCGCTTTCTTGGCCGACACCCGGCGCTTGAAGAACTGCGACGCGATCCTCTTCTTCAACTGCCGCCTGGACCCCCCCTCGGCACGCGGAGTCTTCGCGCGCGCCGCCGCCCACGCTGACAGGGGCTTCCCGCCCACCGCCTGGGGGCCCGGGCGGTCTGTCAGCGCGGGCAAGCCGCCCCCCGACGGGGGAGCGGCGCGGCCCGCCTCCAGGGCAGGAGCACGACCCCTGGGCGGCTGCACTCCCAAGCGGCTGCGCAACTCTGCGGCGTCCGCGGCAGTGCCGATGTTGGTGATCGGCAACGCTCTGCTGCCCGGGCTTCCACCACGGCTCGGGCCTGCAGGGCAGTCGGGCCATGCGCACCTCGGCGGCCTCGATGCCCGCGACGAGCTCCTCGTCCTCAACTGAGAGGCTCAATCCACCATTGTCGGGGGGGATGAGCTCGAACCACTTCGCCGTCCTCGAATGGCCATCCCGTATGGTCTTTTGGATAGCCTTGACCCTGCAGAAGATGAAATCCAGGGCGTGAATGGGCTTGCCCGAGACTATGAGGTCCGCACTCTCCGCGAGCGTCCGCAGCTCGCGGTACCGGTCCTCACCAATCTCACGAATGGGGTGCGCAGGCTTCAGCACCCGGAGCAAGAACTTGAGCGCCACGGGGCTATGCTTGGTCACACCTCCAGCATCATCATGGTCCAGAAACTGCGCCATGTTCTCCATCTCCCTCTCCGAGAGGCGCCCTGGATGCTTCTCCGCTATCTTCTTGTACGCCAGGCGGCGGGCCGCCACGGGGCGCCCGCCAGGGACGCGATCATCATCACTGTCAAACAGGCCGTCGTCGTCGTCGCCCTTCCGACTCAGGTACTCGGCGAGCGTCTTCAGTACTGCCCGCTCGCCTGAGCCGCGAGCACGACCGCCATCTGCTGGACCAGCAGCGGCAGCACTCGGCGCCTGTCCAGTCATCCTCGCCTGGACCACCTCGCCGAGCTTGGCCCTCTTGTTGGGCGCGGCGGCCGCGGCCCCGCCTGCAGCGGCCTCCGGGCCGCGCACTGTCGCGAGCTTTTCCCGCAACTTATTGAGGCGCTCCAGGTAGCCGTCTTTCGCCGAGCCCTTCGCGCCTTCGGACTTGCCTGAAAGCGCTGCGAACTCCCTGTCGAGCTCAGCAAAGGCCTCCGCGTCCGCCTCGTCGGCCTCCTCGTCGCCGTCGAGCTCCACCAGGTCGCCCCCAGCCTTGCCTACGCCGGCGGGGCGTTTCCTGGCCGGGCCAGCGATAGCGGCGCGACTCGGCGGCGGCTCCTCTTCCTCCTCAGCGGCCTCAGCCTCATCTGAGGCGGCCTGAGCGACATCAGCCGGCAGCTCGGGGCAATCCTCATCGTGCTGGAGCACTGCCATGTGCCGCTCGGCTGCCTGAGCGGCCGTGAGCCTCTGGGGCGCTCTGGTGTGGAGCACCTGGCACCCCGCCCGCGGTGCCGTGTAGCGACATCGCGAG